CCACGTAGGATTTGTGAAGTTAAAACAAACTCACTCCGGAAAGTTGAAATATTGAATTTTGAATGGATAAACACACACTCTCTGCGTTTTTATTGGGTTGGGACTTCTATAAATGGATAAACACACAAACCTACACAAACCCTTATAAAAAACTACTTAAGTTAAAGATTGTAGTTTGATACTCAAACCTATAGCAGCATTTATGGAATCATAAAACACACAAACCTGCATCTTCACTTGTTAGTTCCTCAACAGCCAATCCATCTCATTGATAACTTGTTAGTTCCTCAAGAGAGAATTTTGTGGAGTGACAAGCATCTTGAGCCAAGTAGTGAGCCACCATCGCCCACAGGCTAACAAAAAGACCACATTGGATCAAACCACAATATGCCTTGACAGACCAAGAGGCTAGCATGTGTGAGCCTCATTGGGCTTTAGGAAAGGGCCCTTTACAGGCCAAGAGGCTGGCATGCAAATCACGAAACAACACTTGAAAAGAAAAGGACAAAATATATAGATGGGCTCAATAGCTCTACTTTGGGTGATTTTGAGGAAGGTAAAAGCAAAACACTAGTGGGGGATGAAGTTATTGGCGGTGCAATTCAACAAACAGCTTTTGGTAAAAGCTTGTGCCATACGCAATGGCCAAGTTTGAACTCTTGGATGCTGCCGAAGAGTGGTTGTGTCTCATGACTCATCCATTGATTTGAACGACAAAAGAAATAGCACTGAAGTTGTTGGTATGTAGGCAGAATGTGATGGGCCAGAATGATTTGATTTGATTGCAAGGTTCTTGTGATGATTTTAACCCCCCCTCCCCCCCCCCCCCCCCAAAAAAAAAAAAATAATAATAATAAAAAAAGGATTAAAGCAGGTAGACGTAGAAGGAGACTTGATTAAGGCCCAACTCCATCATGCTTGGAGAATCTCAGTGGCTGTGCAAGGCTTCACGTGTGGACTGCAACATTGCTTCATGCAATTCCTCTTGGGCATTTAGTTAGTGTTAGAGCATCTACCTTAGTTATCTAGATTGGAGCAATTGAATTTCTGGGAGCATGGGGCTCAGGTTAGATTTTGTTGCTATAAAATTCAAAGAATTGCTTCATGAGGCCTTAATCTACATTCTACAATTCAAAAGATGGTTGTATAGATTGTTTGTTATAGGGTGGCAGGAAAGAATTGAAGTTAGAGAGACAAAGCAGCTGGTACTAACTGGCACTTTTGATTGATGTATGATTGAGACCCAAAACTCATTGTGTGGTTTCCCTTCTTGAAACAGAGAATGAAAGCTCCGACTAAGACTTAAGGAACTGGTGCTGCTCTGCCCCACTACTTTCACTCATTCACCGCTTAGGTCAAATGAAAGTAGCCTTCTCTCCCTGATTTGCTAACTCAGCCACTGATTTCATACTTCTGCCTTGCATACTTCATACCATGTAATTATGTAAGTGTAGAATTTTGACAAAGGAAGGAAAACTAAATGTCAACTGTTTATTTTCTTTTTGCATTTCACTCATTTGTGCACTCAAAGAGTCCACCTCTGGTTGTTGCTTTTAAGTCCTCTACTTGATTTTAATTATTCGTTGGAAAAATAGAAATTAATACACATTGCCACACCATTATATTGCTCAATGCATAATTTGTGGTTGATACTCAATCCTTGTATTTCTAATTTGTTTAAACATTAGGCTTGGAATGAAGTAGGTAAGTTTATATTGCATAGTTAATAATTATATTTTCATACATGATTTTATATCTCTAAAAATGTGATTTCTAACTTATTTTTTCGTATTTTCTTATAGGTTAAACATGCTAAAGGAGATACTTCACATGTGCAACTAAACACCAATTTAATCAAATTTTACAAGTCAATTTTTTTTTTTTTTTGGGGGGGGGGGGCAGATTAAGTTTCATGTATTCAAGAACCTTGAATTTGTAATAGATTTTAAACACATGGATGTATTAAAACATCTTGAGATACAATTCATTTTTTCATTATAAAATCTTTTATTGGAATTTTGCATTCAAGTTTCATCTTTTATTATGAATGGAATATATTGTGCTTGTATTTGGTACAGGAAAAAAATGCCATCAATCATATATCAACAATTTTAGCTACAAATAGTTAAAAACGGTAGCTATGATTCATGTTTTTTTGCTACAGGCTGCTTATACCGTAGCTATGGCTATGATTCATATTTTTATCTACAGTCATTTCAAAACCGTAGCCATAGATCTAACAGGCATTTAGAAACCGTACCTATAGATCAACATTTAGCTACGGTTATAAAACAAACCGTAGCTATAGTGTCAAATTTGTAGCCACGGTTAACTAGAAAATCGTAGCTAAAACTTCACATATAATTACTGAATTAGGCTTTAGCCACAGACATAAACCGTAGCTATTACCTATAGCCAATGCGACTGTAGCTACCGTTTTTTGATCGTAGATAGTTCATAGCTATAGATCTATAGCTACGGTTTTTTAGATTTATAGCTACGGTTTTATCCATAGCTACATGCCTCTTTTCTTATAGTGTTTACACACTGTTAAGAAGTGTCTCATCATGGATGTTGGTACAAGTCGTATGGTTATGCTGAATGGAAAAAACTAGACCATTTGGAAACCGATAATGGAAGACTTGTTGTATTGTAGGGACTTATATGGACCTACTGAAGGAAAATAAGTCAAACCAAAAGGGATGTCCATTGAGGAATGGAAGAAACTTGATAGAAAAGCTATGGGGGTAATTAAACAATGGATTGAAGATAGTGTCTTTTGCCATATTTTTACAGAAACTTCAACACACTCTCTTTGGAAAAAGCTCATATGAAAGAAAAAACATCGGGAAACAAAGCTTTCTTAATGAGAAAGCTTGTGAGCTTGAAGTTCAAGGAAGGTACATCAATTGTGGAGCATTTAAATGAAATGAAAAGCATTGTAAATCAGCTCTACTCCATGAGAATGGTGTTAGATGATGAATTGCAAACCTTGTTGTTGCTTAGTTCTTTGCCGGATAGTTGGAAGACATCGGTGGTGTCTCTAAGTAACTTTGCACCCGATGGGGTTTTCACAATGAGTCAAGTTACAACAACTTTATTGAATGAAGAAACTAGAAAAAAGACATCCGGTTCAACCCAAGGTGAAACACTTGTTATAGAAAATCAGGGGTGAAACAAGAGTAAATATCCACAACACCGTGATAGATCCAAGGGAAGGTCCAAGTCCAGAAAGGGGATTACATGTTACTATTGTAAAAAGTCGGGACATATGAAGAAGGATTGCAGAAAACTAAAGAAAGAACACAAAGAAAAGGGTGAAGAAAAAGAAACCACTATAGTTGCTTCCGATGGAGAGTTAAATCATTTTCTCGGGTTATGAAGAATCTTGCATTAATATCACATGTCATGACACGAATTGGGTAATTGATACCGATGCCTCCTACCATGCTACCGTAAGGAAAGATTTCTTTACTTCATACAAATCTAGTGATTTTGGTGTAGTTAAGATGGGAAATAGTGGTGCATAAAAAATTGTGGGGATTGGTGATGTACACATGAAGACAAATTCTGGTTGTAGGTTGATTCTCAAGGACGTTATACATGTTCCAGACCTTCGACTCAACCTAATTTCGTTAGGAAAATTAGATGAAGGGTATTTCACTTTGGTAATAGGTGTTAGAAGCTTACCAAAGGCTCTCTTGTAGTGGCAAGAGGAAGAAGGTGTTATACTCTTTACAAGACTTAAACACATGTTTGCAAGAGTGAGATGAACATAGTTGAATAGGTGTCTATAGATTTATGGCACACATGGCTAGGCCACATGAGTGAAAAAGGCCTACAAATTCTCACATAGAAATAACTCCTCCCCAACATGACAGATACACCTTTAACTCAATGTGTTCATTGTTTAGTTGGCAAGCAACATAAAGTTTTGTTTTAGAAAAATTCTTTCAAAAAAAAATGTGATGTGTTGGAATTGATTCATTTCGACGTGTCTGGTCCTATGAAAGTCAAAACTGTTGGTGGTGTCTCTTATTTTGTCACTTTCATAGATGATGCATCTAGAAAAGTGTGGGCATATGCAATGAAACACAAAGATGATGTCTTAGAAACATTTAAATAATTTCATGCCAAAGTTGAAAGGAAGACGGGAAAGTCTCTCAAATATATTTGTATGGATAATGGTGCAGAATACATTGGTCCATTTGAGGAATATTGCAGAATTCATGGCATTAAGCATGAATAGTCCATTCCCAAGACATCACAATAAAATGGTGTGGATGAAAGATGAACTGCACTATTGTTGAAAGAATTAGATGTATGTTGTCACATACAAAATTACCAAAAAGTTTTTGGGGAGAAGCAATGTCCATAGCATGTTATTTGATCGATTTATCTCCATCAGCCCCCTTGAATAGAGATGTTCCGGAAAGAGTGTGGACAGGAAAAGATGTTTTCAATAAACACTTAAGAGTGTTTGGATACAGGGCATTTGTGCATGTTCTAAAAGAAGACAAATTCAAGCTTGATGACAAATACAAGTAATGCATTTTCTTGGGATATGCAAATGAGAAGTTCGGCTACAGGTTATAGGATCTTATTGAGAGGAAAGTTGTTAGAAGCTAAGATGTGGTATTCTTTGAAGACTAAACCACTGAAAACATTGACAACATTGAACAACCACAACCTTGTACTAGTGATTTAATTGAGTTAGATCCAATTCCTCCTCAAGTTGTGCATTGTGATGCAAGAGAAGAAAAAGAAAAAAAAATGTAGGTGATGATGATCACATACAACATGATGAGTAGGGGGAGCAATCCCCTCAAGAGTCACCAAGCATGCCACTAGTAAGAAGGTCCACTAGAGAGAGGCAACCATCAAGGAGGTACCCACCTGAAGAATTTGTTATGCTTATCGATGAAGGAGGACCAGAAAGCTATGAAAAGGTGCTATCTAGTGAATACAAAGTTGAGTGGTTAAAAACCATGTAGGAAGAGATGAATTACTTGCATGAGAATCACACATTTGATTTGGTGAAGTTGCCTAAAGGCAAGAAAGCACTCAAGAACAAGTGGGTGTTTAAATTGAATGCTGAAAACAAGAATTCACAATCAAGATACAAGTTAAGGCTAGTTGTGAAAGGTTTTGGGCAAAAAAAAGGTGTTGACTTTGATGATATTTTTTCTCTCACTGTGAAAATGTCATCAGTATGTGTTGCACTGGGGTTGGTTGTAAGTTTGGACTTGAAAGTTGAGCAATTAGATGTGAAAATGACATTTCTCCATGGTAATTTGGAGTAAGAGATTTACATGGAGCAACCAAACGGATTCAAAGTAAAAGGGAAAGAGCACATGGTATGCAAACTCAAGAAAAGTTTGTATGGGCTGAAACAAGCTCCAGGTACAAAAAGTTTGACTCGTTTACGATGGATCATGAATATACAAGAACAACTTCAGATCATTGTGTGTTTGTTAAGAAATTTCAAGTGATGATTTTATTATCCTTTTACTTTATGTTGATGATATGTTGCTTGTTGGTCATGATGCTAATAAAATTGACAGGTTAAAGAAAGAATTGAGCAAGTCTTTTTCTATGAAAGACATAGGACCAGTAAAGCAAATCTTAGGCATGGAGATCTTTCATCATGGTTTTCAAAACCGGGTCGGACCGGAAAAATCAGGAACCGGTTAGGTGACTGGTTCCGTTTCACCCAAAAATTGGATTTTCTTAAAAAACGTTGATTTTGGTCAACAAACCACTAAACCGAGCAGTTAAATGTTTGAACCGTTTGAATGGTTTTGACCATTTTTTTAATTTTTATTTTTTTTTGTCAAAATAGGTCGACCATTCGGGTCGATAACCAGATCCCTGACTAGTTTGGTCTTCGGGTCGATTTTAAAAACCATGTCTTTCATGATAGAAAAGCCAAAAAGTTGTGGTTGTCACAAGAGAGATACATTGAAAAGGTGCTTAAAAGGTTCAATATGAACAAGAAAGAATTGGTTGGGTTTCCTCTTATAGGTCATTTTAATTGAGCTCAAAACAAAGTCATACAAATGAAAAAGAAAAAGAAGAAATGAAGAAAGTTCCTTATGCTTCAGTAGTTGGTAGCTTGTTGTATGTTATGGTTTGTATAAGACCAAAATTGCACATGTTGTTGGTGTTGTTATTAGGTTACTTGCCAATCCTAGAAAGGAACATTGGAAAATAGTGAAATGGATTTTTAGGTATCTCTAGGATTCCTCTAAAGTATGTTTGAGTTTTGGATATGGTAAGTCTATGCTAGAAAGCTTTACAGATGCAGGCATGGTAGGATATATTGATTCTAGAAATTTCACATCAGGTTTATCTATTTACCTTTGCCGAAGGAGGTATTTCATGGCAATCTAAATTGCAAAAATGTGTTACATTATCTACTACAGAAGCTAAATACATTGCGGTGACTGAAGCTTGTAAGGAGATGTTGTGGATGAAGAGGTTCTTACAGAACTTGGTTTGCAGCAAGATTGGTGTATTGTCCATTGTAATAGTTAAAGTACCATTCACTTAAGAAAAAATTCCAGCTTTCATTCTAAATCCAAACACATTTATGTGAGATATCGTTGGATTAGAAATGTGTTGGAGCAAAAGCTAGTGCAACTAGAAAAGATTCATACCGACAAAAATGGTTTGGATATGGTGATCAAAGCATTACCAAGGGAAAAACGCGAACTTTGTAGAAGCATTGTAGGCTTAGGAGTTATACACTCCTCATGAGTTGAGAGGGGGAGATTTGTTAGGTTTCCCTCCTCATGTAGAGGTGGGGACCACTCATGTGTTAGAGTCTTTTGCCTAACACGTAACTTGAGAAAGTTGGTAAGAAAGACAAATAATGTTGAGACTCTTGATGTTCTCTCATTAGTGAAAAAGAAACAATTTGTCTTGTCTTATTTTATGATTAGTGGATGGTGGGACCCACTCTCGACTATCCTTTGGCTTTTCCAACAAACCTTATTATGTCTTGGTGAGAAGAGTCCCTTGAAATTCTTGACTCTCACATTGGTATCCTCTTTGAGAAAAAAAAAGAGAAGAAGAGAGTGGGAAGAAAATTTTCCTCTTTTACAAGAGAATAAAAAGAGATTCAAGCTTCTTAGTATGTGAACAAGAGCACATTCAATCAACTATTGTGACTGTTGTTTTACACTTGTTCCATCAAGGATTTTGGTGGGTTTTCTTGGCTCTTCAGTAATAGTCTTGGAGAGGGTTTGGGCAGCTTGTTTGGTGAGATCTTTCTCATGTTTATTGGTTGAAATATATCTTGTTTGATTATTATTTTGTATATCCAAGAAAGGTTCTTGTCTCTTGAAGTTGCTAGTCTCTAATTGGAACTAGAGAGGTTGTAATTCTCATTTATCTTATTGATAATGGAGAGTTTTCTGAGTTATTGCTCCGTGATTTTTACTCTTCACATTGAAAAGGTTTTTCACATTAAAAATTATGGTGTGCTATTTTTCTTGTGATGTTTGATTATTTTACTCATTAGCTATTGCTTGTTCTCATTTGTTAATTCCATTGCTGATTTACACACTGTTAACAAGGAATTTCATTTCCAACAAATCTTATTCACTTGCATTTGTTTTAGACTTCTCTTGTGTGACTTGGCCCCATCTACCAGAAATGGAGAGGTTCCCTCTCGCATTCCAAACTTACCCTATTTATTTAACCCGTGCCTTTTTCTAGGATTCCATATTTACTCGCAAAGTGAGCCACTAGCGGTGTTCATTTAGTTTGGCCAAATATGATCTGTCACAAATCAATTCTGAACATTTTTCTTTAAATGTACTTATTGTGTTTGACATTTGCCACAGGGTCGTGATTGGGTACAAGATCTACCGTCAGTTCTTAGAAAATTTAAATTCCAAAGGATGCCAAAGCTAATTGTCAATTCGATGTAATAAATCAGCTTTCCCATTGTAACCATTTAACCCGTATTTGGGATGAGTGTCTCTGTCTGAGGTAGTATTCACCTTTTTAATTGTTGGTTGGAATGATAGGATGCCGTCTACAACTCTCTCAGCTTCTCTGAATTTTAACTTGGACCTTCGCAAGTAAATGCCACTACATCGTCCGTATCTTAACCCTTCAAATGCCAATGTCATTAAATGTCTCACTCATCAATGTAAACCTAGCCAGTCTCAGCTCCGCCCAGTTGCACCAACCACCAAATACCCTTCTTTGGATATTCTCTCCTTCTTGCAAAAATGCAGGGACAAGGACCAACTCAGCCAAATACAGGCACAAATGATATCCACAGGACTTATTCACCATCTCCCTGCTGCCTCAAAGCTTGTAGTCTCTTTTGCCTCAAATCCCCTTGTAGAAGCCACATGTATCGCCCGTCTCATCGCTGAACAAATTGAAGGACTTGATATTTATACATGGAATGCCGTCATTAGAGGTTACTTGGAGGGAGAATCTCCCAAAGAAGCTATTTTGGTATATGCCCATGTGAGAAGGAAAGGTTTGAAGGTGGACAGTTACAGCCTTATGTTTGCCATCAAGGCTTGTAGACTAATATTAGGGATGCGGGAAGGAGAAGAGATTCATAGCCAAGTTTTCAAAATGGGTTTTTTGTCTGAAATAATTACGCGGACTGCCCTCCTCCATTTTTATGGTGTCTTTGGTAACCCTGAATCTGCACAACAGGTATTTGATGAAAGCCCTCGTAGAGATTCAGCTCTCTGGAATGCTCTTATTGCCGCTTATGCTCACAGGAGCTACCTGTACAAGGCACTCTCGGTTGCCTGTGCTATGATCAATGACTGCGTCAGACCAAATGGGGTGGCTGTTGTTAGTATTCTTTCAGCTTGTTCTTCTTTGACAGCGCTGAGAGAAGGGAAAATGCTGCATTGTTATGTTCTTAGAAACCTCATTGATGTTGATGTATTCGTTGCCAATGCCTTGATAGACATGTACTCGAAGTGCAGGTGTTTGTTCAATGCTCATCAGCTTTTCCAAAGAATGCCTATGAAAAATGTGATTTCGTGGACTTCAATCATAAACGGTTATAGCAATAGTAACTTCCCAGATGGTGCTTTGGCTCTGTTTAAAGAAATGGAGCGTGCAAAAGTACGACCTGATGAAATTACCATGTTGGGTATTGTTTCTATGTGCTCTAAGTTGGGAAGGTTTGAGCCGGGGGAGTGGATTGATAATTATGTTGAGAAAAATGGATTTAAGAAAGGGAATGTTTGTATGGAAAACGCTCTCATGGACATGCATGCCAAATGTGGTAACATCAAGAAAGCTTGTCAAATTTTTGAGCAGATGGAGAAGAAAACTGTAGTATCTTGGACCAGTATAATACATGGTCTAGCACTGCATGGTAAGGGGATACCTGCTCTTCTTCGGTTCTCTCAGATGCAAAGGGAGGGTTTCAGACCAGACTGCATCGTCTTCCTTAGCATCTTATCTGCATGTAGTCATGCTGGTTTGGTGGATGAGGGGCGTAAATGTTTCAAATCCATGATAGAGGATTACAGCATAACACCATGGATGGAGCACTATGGATGTATGGTAGATCTTCTATGTAGAGCAGGGCTGCTTGACGATGCTTTTGAGTTTGTGGGAAAAATGCCAATAAACCCGGATGTGATTGTGTACCGTATGTTGCTTGGAGCATGTAAAAACCAGGGTAACATCAGTCTAGCAAAGCGAATCATGAATTACTTAACTGAATTAGAGCCGAGACATAGTGGGAATTATATATTAATGTCAAATTGTTATGCATCCATGGGTGAGTGGGACAATGCCAAACAAGTGAGGACAAATATGGTAGTAAGAGGAGTAGTTAAACTAGATCCTGCTTGTAGTGAGATACAAGTAAATTGATGTGTATATAATAAATCAGGCTTATTTCACCCTTCATTCTGTGGTTTTCACTGCAAAAGTAAGATATCAATGTTTATGGTCAGAAAGAGACTTTGTATTGAATTTCAAATCGTAAGGAGCATTAGTCTTGATTGTTAAAAGTATTGTGGAAACTTTTGATGATATTTGCTGTCCTGGTTTCCTGTAATCATTTCTTGAGGATTAATTGTTTGACTTTCTTCTTGATTTCTTGTCCTGATATTTGCTGTACTGGTTCCTGAAACTAGGAATTCCATACTGGAATAGTTTGTTACTCTCTACAACGGGATTTTTTGTGCAGGCGCCCTCTCTTTGCTGTGAACTCTCTCTCTCTCTCAACCCATCTCTATCCTTCTAATTCTCTCTTTCCCCAACAAATCTCATTCATTCTCTTTTGAACACCCTGCTTTCTGCCCCTTTCTTCTCTGTCATTCTTCCTCCACCAAACTTTGAATGCTAGGAAACCCTATCCTCCATCTGCCCTGTCACCACCATCAGGATTTGATATTTGTCTATCGGTGCAAAATGTTGAAAGTAAGAAGGGCTTTTACTGTCATTTTCATTTTAGTACATAGGTCAGTTGACAAAGGCTTTGGTGTTGCTTATTACAGATCTTTAACTAGATGCAAAGCTTCAGAGGAGGAAATAGAGGAGCAAGAAACAGTTTGAGGTCTCAACCAAATGTAAGTTTTCTGTTTTGTTTCGATGCTATGGAGTTTATTTTTTGATTCTTTGATTAGATTTTGAGCAGCAGTAAATCGGTAAATGTACAATCAAATGAACCAAAATATTAGATGGGTTTTAGTAAGTACGGACCTTTTCATCAGCTCTTGATTTCCCGTTCCTTTTTTAAGTACTTCTTGCAATATGATAGTACAGCCACTAGCAAGGTTCAAAATATTGATAAAGCCTGATACGCCCTTATCGGTACTTTTTTTTCTCTCTTTTTTTTAAAAATTTTTTCAAATCTGACCCGAAACATCCCCTATAGGGGCATATCGGGAAGGCTCCGATACGTATTGAAATTTTGAACCTTGGACACTATGGTGCATTTAAGAAGAACAGAGTTCAACCTCCTTCAACCCAATCTAGCTGACTCTCTCTCTATGGGGTTTGTGTGTCTACTTGTCTATGTGTGTGTGTGTGTGTTTGTGTTTTCGTTTTTGGTCTTTCTTAATTATCCATTTCACATACATGCATGAGAAATAGATATAACTAAAGTTTGCACTACATGACTCTAAGCTTAGAATGTATAGAAGAGAGAATAATACGACTATAGTTTCTTTTATTTAATGATGAAATCCATAGAAATTCTTACACAGGTAAAAACTCTCTCTCTTTATTTTTTCTCCTTGTTTTTCTCTCTTGGCATTAAAGATCACTTTATCAATATTAGTAACGGATGTTCTTTTTCTTGATGAGGTAATCCTGTTATAATTTTTCTTCTGATTTAAAACATATTAATACAAATTCTAATGCTAGCGCATTTGATATCCTATGTAATTTATGAAGAATGATCTTGGCTAAACATCTTGTTGGCGGTACTGACTATTATTTATATTGTATATCAGAATTTAAGAACGACTGATATCTTGAATAAAATGAAGTAATAAATGATTTGCAATTAGATGCTTTCCACTGCAGTGTGTTCATAGGAATGCCTTATGCTAAACTAAGTAGGAACCTTCCCTAGATCCTGCTATCATCACCAAATGATTACATGGAAGTCAAGGTAAGAAGTAAGAACAATCCTCATGGATATTTGAACAATAACGAGAATTAGTCAACTTGGAGAGAATTTGATGATTGTGCCACAATACTTCTTCACAAACTCCAGTGGTAGAATAAATAAGATAGCCTATGGATGAGATGTCTTGTGCCACAATGCTTCTTCATAAGCACACAAATTTCTCTGCAATTCCATTTGTAGGTCATATGATTAATTTAGTTAGAATTTCTATTTGTCTTTATTTTGAGTTAAAACAGATTAGCATTCATCAAAAGATCCAATACTCAGCTTACCTAAACTGATTATATTTAAGTTGCATGTCTCTATAATTTTCAATGGGGGTTGGATGAAGAGCGGGGGGGATTGCTAGCAAAGATCCAGCATCATCCTCCCAACACTACAAGAAATTTGGGTTAAGCCAGCGGTTTAGAGCCAACGGTCAAAAGGAGCACTAGCTTAGGCATACCTAAGGGGGCGGTCACCTCTAGACCACCACCTTAAAACTAAAAACACAAAAAAACCTAGGCATGCTCTTTGGACTAGCCCAACAGTTTTTGTCTTTAGTCGGAATTGAACTGCTCTAACCAATTTTAGTTTAGATCATCACTAAAATAAAGTGGGGGACACTATATTCTCTTTATTCGACAAGAAGATAATCCTTTCATTTTTTCAGCACCAAAATAATTTCATCATCTTATCCTTCTCTTCAACTGATGAGAAAGTTCAAGAATACGGTTTGGATTGAAGAGAAAGAGGACAAGTAGAGTTTTTGTGAAGATTTGCTCTCATTTGCTACATTGAAATGGTGGAAGAGTATGTTTTTTCAGAGCCTTTCGTTTATTTGATTACATGAAAGAAATCACCGACTTGTTTGAGAGAAGATCGTTGGATCTTCATTTTTCTAGGTGAAAGGTGTTCTAGCTTCAACTTAATGAAGTTTCATACACCAGTGACTTAGATCCAAGCCTTCGTCTTTGATAAATTTATTATTATTCGGGTGCAGGTGGAACTTGCCCTCTAAAGTAAATATGCTTTTTATTCTGTCTACCTTTGGGAGATTGACAAAAAGAGGGAAGTTAATGTGGAAATGTATAAAATCTGCTAATTTGTGGATTTTATGAGAATAAAGGAATGCTAGAATTTTTCAAGAAAAGGAAAGAAGTCTCATTGAAGTAAAGGAGTATATAATGACAAAGACAACCTCATGGATGAAAACTTCATAATTGTTTGTGGATTACTCTTTTGATGATTTAAAGAGAATTTGGGCAGTGGTGGCATTCATAGCCTCCACAAAGAATAGACTACAAGTAGAATGGGAGCCCCCTCTAGAAGGAATGGTAAAACTGAATTTTAACAGAAACAGTCAAGGTAATCTAGGGCCCTCAAGCATAGAAGGGATTCTGAGAGATAAGGACGACAACATCCTATCTTTATTCTCAAGACATATGGTGTTGGTGATTCTATGAGGGCCAAGATACTAGCAGTGGTACAAGGCATACAAGTTGCTAGTCAACTTGGAGTGGAAAACTTGATAGTTGAGGGGGACTCTAAGGTAGTGGTCTATTTGGAAATTTTAGAAATGTTTTTTGGGGTTACAGGAATATTTTGAGGAAAATTAATTGGTTGAGTACCTAGGTTTTAGTGGGTTAGAAGATCGGCAAATGCAATGTTGATTCATTGGCTAAACAAGGGGTGACATTTTTTGGGCTACCTTATAATTGTAATTGAAGCTAATGTGTGTTTATTTGCTTAATGCTCAGCTCCAAGGGGGGGGGGGTCACATCTTGTGCCAACTCTTAGTTGTTTGTACACTCTTTCTTTGATTAATAAAATTGCATTCATTTATTAAAAACAAAAAAAAATTGATCAATTTATTGTTTTGAGAAGTGATCATTCAAGATAGATTCTTTAAGGATTTCTTTTGTATTCTTTTTGTTGGTGTTGAATAATCAATTTGTTAGACAGTATATGCTCTTATCTCCAATCAGATTTATGTAGATAAACATTTATCAGTAAATGAATAATGTTATTGTTTCATGTTCTTATCGACGTGTTTTTTATGAATTTTCTTAAACTAGACACTTATGAGACTCATTAGGAATGGCAACAAGGTGGGTTTGGGGCGGGACACCCCCTCCTCGTCCTCGCCCCAAAGTCAAGAGACTTTGCCCCGTACTCGTCCCGTTCCCGGTGGCGGGGTAGGTTTGGGGTGGGGCATCCATTCCCCATCGGGGACGGGGAATCCCCGAATTTTCTCCACTCCAAGGCAATTGCTTAAAAATTATCTATTTTATGGACAATTTATACATAAGATATAGGAATTTGGGGGTATTTTAGAATTGAATTATAGTACTTTAGGGGTAATTCAAAAATAAAGTTATGGGATCCTAGGATTTTAAAAATTGAGGGAAAACTTAGAAATATTTTAAATATCAATATTAAACCTAGAGATATTTTACTAATTTACCTTCGAGTTCAGGGGCAGGTTCGGGGAATTATATACAAAACCCGTCCCCACCCCGTACCCGGTTCAAGAAAAAAATATTTCCCCCATCCCCACCCCTGTCCTTGTTTAGGGCAGGGCAGGGTGGGGCCCCGGTTTTACAAGGGAAATTGCCATCCTTAAAGACATGTCACAGACAAACTGAATGGAAGTGCAATGAAGTGTAGGAAATCCAGGGATTTTAGGTTTATGGGCAAGGCACATTCTAGGGTATGCAAGAATCCCCTATTTGCTAATGATGTTCATTCATTCTTTATAATAAAAAAAAAATTTAAAAAGATGTTTGAAATTATAAAACCATTTATTTGTAGGAATTAAAAATTTAAGACCTAACATCGATGTTTGGAATGAAATAATGTTTAACATCATATTATCTATTTGAAATAGTAAATTAGTAAAGAATTAAACAAATTGAGAGTTTGACATATTTGAATATGTTTTATATGCTATGGTTACGCATTTTAATTTTAGCTAAAATGCTTTTGAAAATGTTTACTTTAAAATTAAAGTTGCTTCTTTAATTAATAATATTTTTAATATTTTCTTAGTTTATTTTGAATTGTATACTTTCTCTGCCTTTTCTTTTTAAATATTTTAGAATATTTGTGCCTTGCCAAAAAGGTGTGCGACTCATATTGTGCTTTGTGCCACGGGTGCAAATGCCCTTTGCACCTGTTTTTTTGCCTTGTGCTTGTAAAACAATGGAAATCCGAATTTTAGTCAAGTGCAATGGGCTAGCTACCTAACATGTCCGTGCTATTTTGTGCAATCAAGGACTGAGGAATCATACGATTTCCATACCTTATATCTGAAACTTTATTGACCTATTAGAATTCAAAATTTGTTCTTATAATGTAAGATCTTTATCTAATAAATTAATACTACTTTCTTTAATAACAAAGCACTGGTGTTTCAAAATATCAACTTCCAATAAAGAAAAGTAATACAAATAATTGCAAAAGTTAATAGACATTATGAAATAAAGGGCCATGGAAGCTTACGAACACCATAAAAGAATTAGTGTTTGCCTAGGGAACTCAAACAACCTTCAAGTGGGTGTATAGATCAGCTAATTGCTTGGATCACTCATTAGGAAAACAAGGATTCCTAAGGTAATGTAATGACCGAAAAATAGGTTGGGGCAAACTACGAGCCTAAACTGAGGGTTTTGACTGGCACTTCATTGCATATATAAAATTCATTCTTTTATTAGTTTGATAAAATTTTCAACATTACTGATCAGAAAATTATAATGTAAACCCAATATAATAGTTGGTGGGCTTCATTGTTGTGTCATGCCAGACCTATCACCAAAAACCTCCCTCATATTGGGCTGTCATTAAGCAGGTTTTGGCTGAGAATCGGGCTTAGTCATTGAACCCTATGGAGAAAGCATGTAGAAGAAGATCATCTACATAGGGGACACTTTCATTTTTTTTTTTAATTTATTAGCTTCAAAATAGGTTCAAGTGAAAGAATCCTGTTGTGTAAGGATTGGTGGTGTGATGATACACCACTTTGCAATGCTTTTCTAGCAAATTTTGCTCTGGCCCAGGACAAGGATGCTCAGATTTATGATTGTTCTAAGCTGAATATTGAGTAGTGTGTGTAGATTCATATTAAATAGTGTATGTCCTTAGATCCAATTAGATTGACGTACATAAACATTTATTAAATAAAGAATATTATTGTTTTATTTTGAAATTGGTATATTTCTGTGTATTATACTTTAAATTGGACACTTAAAAGACTCGTGTTAGTTTAAAATGTTCTTACCCATCAAATAGACTTGGGGAGTTTATCTTGACAAAATTGACACTAGTGTGCTGCCAAAGAGTTGGAACATCTTGTTTTAGTTGCTAGGGTTAGACCGCAAGCATAGCTAATGGGTGTTTATCAGAAGCACTAAACTTTGATCAATTTCTAGTTCTGCCCTAGACCTTGGAGATAGATAGGCAAAACTAAAAAGTTATATATAACATCGGACTTGATTATGGTATTACACTAGGTATTAGACTAACTTGTCTTTGATATGCCAACCAGTAAAATCTGTCATGGACTAAATACCTGAGTATGTTGGTATAGTTTAAGAATTCACCTAAGTGGGTGATCATAGTAATAGGATTGGCCCCTTTGTTGGACAAAGTGAATATTAGATTCTACACTCTCTCTTTGATGGAAACCTAAATTGCTGGTAGTAAATTTCAATTGTGTTTAAAATTTGGTTTTGCAAAATATATTTATATGTTATATATTATGGAAAAGTAGAAACATGCCCAATGCAGATTTCTGAATTCTACTACAGATCTATAAACATTCAAAATGTAAAAAAAACCCCACTCTATTCACCAATGCCCACTCATGAATTGGCATCAATTCCGAGTTGGCACCCACCCCAACTATACGTTCGGTCTAAAAATTCTGACCCTAAGCTGAACCGTCATTCTCCCTATATATTACTATTTTGTGGAAAATGTTTGCACAAGGTTTTTAATCCCGAGATCTATTTGAGCAAAGAGTGTGGCACCGCACCTTACAGTCAGGGGAGAGGTCATTCCCTGTTGAACAGTGTTTTGATCATTATGGGCAGAGAGGTTTAATGTAAGAGACCAATACAGGGCTAATTTCATGATTAGTTTTGTCTTATATGAGTTCATTATCCTTGGTTTTCAAAAGATGACTGAATCCAATGATCATTTAGGTTTAAATGTTGGGTCCAAATTGGACCAATGGTGATTAGGTTAGAGGTTCACTACCTTGAGTAGTGAATTCGGCCTAGCCTTTTTCAGAGGATGGGCCGAACCCATATGGGCTTGTATAAGATCATTGTGGAGTCCCACACCATACAAATCAGGCCTAAAGTGGCCATGCAATACCTTGGGTCGTGAGTCTTTAAAGTAAATGGGCCATCAAATGGATGGTTGAACCACACAAGATGGCTGACCAAAATTTCAAACATTTTTCTAACCTTCTCAGGAACCGATTTCTCAATAAATTGAAATATGAAATTTTACTTGTATTGAACTGGGCCAAATTTGAAACTAAAAAGGAGGGAAATTATATCTGATATGGAGATAACAAATTGCGAATCCCAAGGTGGTAGTTCATGCCCAATATCAAACCCAAAACCAATGGTGTTGTGTATAGAGGACCTATTCAACAACACTTGTTTTTGAAAGACAAGAGAGAAGAAGGGAGATCAAGAATGTGCAGAATTCAAGACTGGTTCACTCTCTTCTCTCTTTATCCTTTTATGAAACTATCTCCTAATTAGATTAGGAGATTATCCAAACCTAATTTGGATCTAAATTCTATTAATAGATAAGCCTTATCCTCTTATGATGATAGGTGGTCATGTGACAGCTTAATTAATCTTATTAATTTTGGGCCTTAGACCCACTTACTTCAAAGGCTCACGAACCAAAATACCCTTGTTTGCCCCTCCATCACACCTAGATTCCATGTCAAAGCCCTACACCAACCGAAGTAAGCACCTTCCAAATTTGGCTGATCCTACCCCAGTTGGACCAATCTGACCCTACCAATCAACTTAGAATGTCCAAAAATCCCATCCTACCAAAATTTTAACCCAAAATACCCCTATTTGGTCACTCATCCAAAATAATTCTATTTTGATCATTCTTATTAGCTCACACACACAAAACCCTTCTTTATGGGCAAACCTATCGTAACCAAGGTTTTTGAACCGCCGTTGACCTAGACAGTTGGACTATTCGGCCTGGGAACTGTCTAGGCAACCGGTTCTGTTTTACCCAAAACCTAGTTTTTGGTAAAAAAACCATTGAAAAAGTCAACAACCTGTTGACTCGGGTGGTCAAATTGTCAACCCGTTCAACAGTTTTTGACCGTTTTTTATTTTTAAATATTTTTTATTTTTTAATTCTTTTGTCAAAACGAGTTGTCCGTTCAAGCCAAACAATTCGATCGTCGATCCAGAAACCAATGGCCATAACGGTTTCGTTTCTGAGTCGTTTTTTAAAACATTGATCGTGACCCTTCACATTTTGACCCAAATCTAGAATCCCGGTTTGACCATCCTAAGACCCGGTTTGACCTAACTTTCCGGAAAGTATGAAAATACCACTAAACTTTCCAAAATTACCAAAATGCCCTGTTCCCATTATAAAATCCAAGCTTACCCAAACTCAAGGTGAGGACTGAGGAACCGAAACACTATTCATTCTCTCCCCACCTCTTGACACCGAATTGAGAGGCTGCTGTGGTCTCCCCCAGTCTCTTCTTCAGTCTTTTTCCCTAATTTCTCTCTCGTTTTCTCCCTCTCCCTCTCTCTTTCCCATTCTTCTTTCAACCACATTGAGATTAATGTTGAAATTGGAACTGTTCATTGTCCATGAGAAGGCGACGTAGCGGCGAACAGACCACGGCAAGGAACCATCTTTCTATCGTCCTCTCTTACTTTTTCCCACTTCTCCCACTCTCTCCCTCCTCCCCTGCCACTGTCATTCCAGTTGATCCGCCGCTGCAACTCTCAGCAGCGACGGCATTCTCTCTTTCCCTCTCGAGCCTCTCCGTTTCTCGTTCCCACATTCTTTTTCCCAACCAATCGCCAAAGCCCTGTTTTTGTTTGCCCTTTAAATAGATCCGACCACAACAAGTTTTAAAGAGAGTTTTCCTCCCAGGTTCATCCGAAGCCCACATCGAAATCACCTTCTTCTCATCAATCTATTGGGCATAACCCCGATCGTCACCATTGCTGGAAGAGACAAACTGAAATGAAGTCCCCCCTTCACTACATCGCACGAAGTCAACTGGCTTCCTAGTTGCAATCCCCGATCACCAACCTTGCGGCAGCATCGTTCTCAGGCCAACATTCGCCTCAGGTATGCGTAGTACTCCCCTGTAGTTCTCTCTTTTAACTATCTTATATTATCATTTTTTGGTAGCTTATCATAATTGGGGCTTGAAGGATGGGGAAGACTCGACGGAGTGGGTGAAAACCAATTCATGTGGGCTCTCGGCCCCAACCCAAGTCCCATCAATGTTGATTGCTGTTACATGCTTGCTGGCTAGTTTAGTTAATTCCATTTTTGACTTTCCTGTGAAACTCAGACTGGTCGGATGGGAAGATCGATGAGTTGTCGATCTTCCCCATCCTTCAAGCGCCGATTATGATAAGCCCGCTGCTATTTGATAGTTGTCGATCGGTTTAGATTGCATTTTCCTAATCTTAGTCGTTAAAGTGTGAATTAAACAGCTATTTGTTTGTTTTGATGTTTTAAGTAGTTTGAGTTAGTTCATTTATCTCAAGTAGTCTAAAAAGTGTATGCCTGCATATTAGACCGAAAGGGGAGGAGTGTGGGTAGTTTGCTTTCTTTATCGATTATCATGCTTTTGATTAATTAAATAAATATCTATTTGTGATTATGCTTGCTTGGGAATTCTATGTGAGCTCCACCTGTTCGATTGTAGAGAGAGGTGATGTAGCGCGATCTGGTCACTCTTAGCTGGCAGGGGTCTCGCTCTTAACTAGCAACGGACAGCACCTGAGAAGGAGAAGAAGACGAAGGATTCCCGGGGAGTTCGCCCGGCAGGTACACTCCGATGCTTAAGTTAGAACTCGGCAGAAAATTGAGAGAATTGCGAAATAATAAATGCTAAGAGTGAAGATGTGTGATTTTCAATTTACCCTTTTCCTTGGGGGTTGGAGCCCTTATATACTAATGCTCTGTCAAATCGGGTGTAATCGCCTTTGATTCTCTGCTACAGCCGTTATTCGCCAGGCTGATTCGATTGGTGCAGGTAATCGTCGTAGAGTACGGTCCTGTCAATTGAGAGACGCTACGCAGAGTTGGCGTGCATGACACCACCTGACGTGAGACGTGGGCGCAGTCCTCTGGACTGGCAAGTGCTGCGCCACCAGACAAGAGATGTGGGAGCAGTCTGACAGGCACTGTCTTGTCGGATAAGAAGTTTTCTGAAGACTTTGGGTTACTCAATAGCGAGCTCCTTTGTAGCGAGCTCCAATAGCGGTTGCCTTGCAGCAAGCCGTTCCGCAGCGAGCTGTCTTGTGGCGAGCTATTCATGCTGGGTTTTCAGCGAACTCATTATGCTGAGTTGTGGCCAAGCTGTCATGCTGAGCTATTATTTACATCGAGCCATATCAACGTGTCCCCTGGTTAGGAGGTCGGGTCAAATCATCCTCCATCAAGAGGTGTTTAACATTTTTCTTCTCCCATTTGAGTTTTACTCAGACTGGTTTGGTTTGGAGTTATAAAAACAATTTTTGATGTTATTCTCAAAGGTTTCATCACCTCCATTTATTGATGAATGACGACTCCATGTCAACCCAAATGAGTCTTTTCAACACTCATTCTATGCTTTTGCCGGTCAGAAAGAATTGCAGATTTTTTTTTTTTTTTTTCGTGCGGATTGCATTCGTGGGATTGAATCATTGAATATAAGCTCCTTTGAGAACGTGGGTAGTTAAATGTTGAAATCAACATCCAAAAGGAGCAAGCTCCATACTTTTAGTTTTGCAAAATTCTAAAATTAAAGATAATCTGATAGCTTATTGGAGCGAACTTTGACAAATTTACAGATAGCAACTTAGTCAAACAATTGGTGAGAAAAATCTTTCGCTGCTTGGAAATTCATGAGAGCTTCCTGTGACCCACGTTATCATGAGCGTGGGGCAAACCTTCATGTAATTAAGTTGAATGAACATTAAGAGGTGACCATAATAAATTGTTGACTAGAAAAACGCCTTAGAGAGTCGTCTTAGACGCTAGACTGAAGGAAGCGAGTTGCATGCATCATACATTCCAACGTAAATGGTTTGAACTTATAAATCAAATACATACAGGGCGCTGCGAGAACAGTTAAAATTATCAACCATGGCAGCCACTTTTAACAAGAATTCTCTCTCCCTCGTTATGTTAGGCTTTTGGGTTTTAGTTTCTTTGAAAACTGAAGCAGGATTATCGTCACAAGCTGAGGCTCTCCTTAAATGGAAAGCCAGTCTCGAAAGTGGTGGAGCCATTCTCAGCTCTTGGAGGATTGCAACCCAACCTAACACCACTGCCCGTACCAGTTCACCATGCAATTGGACTGGAATAACTTGCAACAAGGACGGAAGTGTAACCGAAATGAAATTACCGGAGGCAGGTTTACATGGTAAGCTCGACAACTTAGATTTCTCTTTGTTGCTCGACCTTGTTCATCTCAATCTGAGTTACAACAAACTCAATGGCTCGATTCCCAAACAAATTGGCACACTTTCAAAGCTCGCCCACCTTGATCTCTCCTCAAATTCTCTTTCTGGTTCTCTACCTCAGTCTTTATCTAACCTCACAAGTATAGTCTTGCTTTACATACCCGATAATCTGATAAGTGGTGAACTTGACCCGCGTTTGTTCTCAAGTTGGACAAGACTAACATACTTTGAACTACAAAACAATCAACTCACCGGGAGAATCCCTGCTGAAATTGGTAATCTTACCAATCTCAAAGAATTAGCCCTCTTAAAAAATCAATTTAGCGGTCCAATACCATCTGAAATTGGAAACTTGAAAAACTTGGAAGCATTAGCCTTGAGCACTAACCATCTTGTTGGTCCTATCCCTACATCACTTGGTAATTTGACCGAGCTGAAGACTTTATTCCTCACCAACAATCAGATTTCTGGATCCATCCCTCCTCCTATTGCTACTTTGAGAAAATTGACCATTCTCACCCTCTTTGAAAATCGTTTGTCTGGCTCAGTACCTCAGGGGCTAGGAAACCTCTCGTCTTTGTATGTACTCGATGTGCATAAAAACAACTTATCTGGATATTTACCCCAACAAGTGTGTAGAGCAGGAAAGCTTGGATATTTCATTATGTCCCAAAACCAATTTATGGGTCCTATCCCAAAAAGCTTGAGAAACTGCAGCACCTTATTGAGACTCCGACTCGATGGAAATCAACTTACTGGAAGGATAGACGAGGATCTTGGAGTACATCCAAATCTTGAATATATTGACCTTAGCTACAATAGATTTGAGGGAGAGCTCTCATCAAATTGGGGAAGATTCCAAAACCTGACCGCGCTGAAAGCCTCCTGAAATAAGATCAGTGGGAGAATACCAGCTGAGTTTGGTCAATTAACTCTACTCGGGCTACTGGACCTTTCTTCCAACCAATTAGTTGGAGAGATACCCAAGCAACTCGTAGCGCTTCCTTCTCTATTCAATCTTACCTTAAGGGATAACCAACTTTCTGGCCAAGTACCACTTGAAATCGGAGGACTATCCGATCTAGAATTCTTAGACCTCTCGAGCAACAAGCTTACTGGACCGATCCCCGATCAACTTGGGTTGTGCACCAAACTTAGCTACCTAAGCTTGAGCAAAAATTATTTCCAAGGGAAGATTCCATATCGGATTGGAAATCTAGTAGCTCTCCAGGAATTACTTGATCTAAGTCAAAATTCACTCACAGGAGGCATACCACCCCAGCTTGCGAATCTAAAAATGTTAGTAAAGTTAAACCTTTCGCACAATCAACTTACAGGTTCTATTCCCTTGTCGCTGAGTGAGATGGTATCATTATCGGACATGGATTTTTCGTACAATGATTTAGTGGGTTCTGTTCCTACTACGAAAGCCTTTCTGCAGGCTCCGCCAGAGGCATTTAGTAACAACAAAGATTTATGCGGTGAAATCCATGGTTTGCCTCCCTGCATCATCAATCCAACTCATAAAGGTCACAGAAGGAAGTTAGTGATTGCTATTGTTGCTTCTTTGTTAGCCATATTGTTCCTTGTGTCTGCCTCTGTTGGAATCATCTCTCTTTTCCGAAGGAAAAGATTGATGAGACTAAAAAAAGAAGAAATTTCTTCAAACTGTGAAGATCATTTTTCGGTGTTGAACTTTGATGGGAAAATTTGCTATGAAGACATTGTTGAAGCCACAAATGACTTCGATAGCAAGTATTGCATCGGAGTTGGAGGATGTGGAAGTGTCTACAGAGCGGAGCTACAAAGTGGTCAGGTATTAGCTATAAAGAAGTTTCATCCCATTCAAGGTGAAGAACTAGAAAACACGAAAAGTTTTGAGAACGAGATACAAGTGTTGACAGAAATACGGCACCGAAACATTGTGAAATTTCATGGCTTCTGTTCTCATCGAAAGCACTCATTTCTGGTATATGATTATATTGAAAGGGGGAGCTTAGCAGATATCCTGAGAAACGAGGCTGAAGCAAGGGAGCTCAACTGGGAGAAGAGAGTAAATGTTGTGAGAGGTGTAGCTCATGCTCCGTCTTACTTGCACCATGATTGCATGCCACCCATAATCCACCGAGACATATCAAGCAAAAATGTTTTACTAGATTCAGAACTTGAGGCTCATATCGCTGATTTTGGCACTGCAAAATTTTTGAAGTCTGCAGCTTCATCTAATTGGTCCGCGCTTGCAGGAACATATGGATATGTTGCTCCAGGTAAGCTAGTAATCAAAGCAGTCTTCATGACTTCTGATGATTCATGGTATTTAACTGTTTTCTTGATTGCAGAGCTTGCTTACACAATGAATGTGACCGAAAAGTGTGATGTTTATAGCTTTGGAGTTTTGACACTAGAGGTGATAATGGGAGAGCATCCAGGAGAATTGATCCCCACTGTGTCCTTATCTGTTGAACAAGGTTCGCTGTTAAAGGATGTGCTAGATCAACGTCTCACTTCTCCATCAGAACAAGTTGGAAAGAAGGTAGATTCCGTTTTGATGCTGGCAATCGCATGCTTGCATGCTAATCCCCAATTACGACCAACCATGCAATATGTATCTCAGCAACTAATCCCTACTTAGTTTCTATTTTGGCTTTACTTTATGTTCTCAATTATTAAGTGTGAAATAATGGACTGGAATTAGGCCCAAGAAAAGCAGGTCAAATTCAAATATATCTTCTTATTTATGGGCTTGTACTCGGAAAGAGACCTTTTTGGTCTCAAATCTGCCATTGGCCTTTCTCATGTATGATATGGTTCAGTAGCGAGTGGTTAAGGGGGTGTGAATAAAAATGGGTGGACTGAACCACACCACATCCTTATAAGCATTTTGTAAGCTGTGGTGCAATTCAGTCCACACCACACTCTATGTTTTGATTCCATACATGTCACCCATCTATTATGTTAATCAGAAATAAACAATATTCTATTTTTTAAATAATATAATTTAACCATGACAATACAAATTAATGCATTTATAATTAAGATAATTAGTGAAAATCATTTAATTAAAACGCTACAGTAAATCTTAGAAATTAATAAAATAATATTATAAAAATTAATTCAAAATTTTATTAAAATCAGCAAATTGACAAGAGTAATATATTTTATAAAGTGAAATAATTATATAGAAAATGATAACTTTTATACAAGTTATAGAAATTATTAGAAGGAAAGGTCCACAATTTTGGAACCATAGACCAAGAAGAATAAGACCAATTCAAATCAAAGTCTATCATCTTCTATCCTAATTCAAGTCAAATCCTTCATTCTAATATTATCTTAACCACCTGTTCAAACACACAGGGATTAAATGAAATAACCTTCAAGCTCATCGGGATAATGACATGGCAAGCAGATGATGATCCGAGCTTTATTTTTTGCAGCTTCCTCAAAAGGTAAAAAAGAAAAAGAAAAAAAAAAAAAAAAGATGGTTACTGGAACAGAAAATGGGCCAACATGAACCGAACTGAATATGGGCCAACAAGGGCCAATGAAAGACCTCAATGACATAAAAAAAAAAAATGCCTTTGATAGGTACGGTCCTTGTGGTCTCATAAAAACCAAAACGCTTAAATGGGCTGAAAAAGAACTGAAGATAGGCCTCAATGCACCTTAAAGAACTACCAATGAACAAAAAAGTAAAAATGGGCTTTAATGGGCCTCATCAAATTTGGAATCAAGGATTAAAGTATCAATATCGGGTATAATATCGGACCACTCAGATACGGATATGTTTTGAAAACGTATGGATACGAATGAAAAAATATGGAAATGCTTGAATACAATAGGAAATGCATATAAATTACACAAATATAGTAACATTATATTTAAGGTCAAGATAGCCATAATTAATATATAAATGCATAGGAATTGCATATTCTAATGGTATATGTGAAGAAATACATTACAATTGATATAGTGGGGTACATAGAAATCATATAATTTTGATAATGTCAAGAGTGCTAGAACATATTATATTTCTTTTTAATAAATTAATACATCCACAAAGTTATTATTATATTATTTTCTATAAAAGTTCAAGGCACAAAACATATACAACTATTATATCTGAATTATTAAATCAATTATTTTTTATTTTACTA